TACGGCAACATCTCTGTCTCTGGCTTGCTGCAGTGTTCTAGTTGGATAGTGACGGCATGCAGGGAGATGGGGAAAAGGCAGCACTGAAGAATAAAGCTGGACTGGATAGTGCAGGCACTGTGGGATGACTGTCCTATTTCTGCACCATAATCACTCAATTATTCTGGTCTGTTCTGATACAGTCGAAGGGAGGTCCCCTGGTCAGACAGAATCATTTGATCACTGTGACGGAGGGCAGGAGCTTTGAAAAGTAAATGTGAGTAGAACTGGGATCAGAATGTCAGTCAGAAAGCTACAGTATGTAAAGAAATGTTCAGGCTTGGGCAGGTTCTGACGTCATGTTGAGGTTGTAGAGAATGTTGGTGAGGCCACCTTTTGGAGCACTGTGTGCACAGTTCTGGTTGCCCTGCTATAGCAAGGATGTTATTAAATTGGACTGGGTGTGGAAAAGATTTACCAGGATGTTGCCAGGGCTGGAGGTTTGAATCATAGGGACAGCCTGGATAGGCTGGGAATTTTTTTTTTCCCCGTAGCACGGGAGATTGAGAGGTGACCCAATAGAGGTTTATAAAATCATGAGGGGCATAGATAAGGATCTTTTCCTAGGTTGGGGGAGTTCAAAACTGGGTCGCATATTTTTAAGGTGAGAGGAGAAAGAGGCATGAGAGGGCAACTTCTTCGCATAGAGAGTGGCTATTATGTTGAATGAATTACCAGAGGAAGGACCAGTTCCGAGGAAGGGTCACCGGACCCGAAACGTTAACTCTGTTTTCTCCTTCACAGATGCTGCCAGACCTGCTGAGCTTTTCCAGCAACTTTGTTTTTGTTCCTGATTTACAGCATCCGCGGTTCTTTTGGTTTTTACCAGAGGAAGTGGTGGATGCAGGTACAGCAACAACATTTAAAAGAACATTTGGACAGGCACATGAATAAGAAAGGTTCGGAGGGATGTGGGCCAGATGCAGGCAAATGGGAATAGTTTTGTTTGGAAAACCAGGTTGGCATGGACAAGTTGGAATATAGGTTGCTATATGACTCTATGATGTTGAGCCAAGGACCTGAGCACTAATGCTTTAGGGCTCCATTATTTCAGTGATGGCACGCAGTCAGATGGTTAAACTGACAGCACCAAATGAAGAATACTGAGTAGGACACAACATGCTCTAGGATGTTTTAAAGCCAAGAAAGCCTTAGACTAAAAATACAATAGATATCTTTCATCCCTCCCTCTCCAGATTTTGGCCAAGACTATGCAGAGCACACCATCCTCACCCTGGAACAAGTTGCAGGAACGAAGAAACCGATGGTCTACTCTTTTGAGAAAACGGTTAAGACACGGTAAACCAAATAAATGACTGACAGACTCTTATGCGGCATTGTATCAAAAAGCATAAAAGCTTTGAAGGAAGCAAAACAAATTAGGTTAAAATGTCCAGAGGGGAGAGGTAATAAACTCCAGTTCCTGCAGTGCCCACCAGCAATGGAATGCCTCAGAGACTATGTGTGTTCCCTCTCCAGAGCCACGGACGTAACCTCAGAACAAGATGAGTGGTTGGGCATCCCAGCGTAAATCTAGACACACCATTGAACACAGGCAGCACAGGTTAATAATGAGGCATACGGGATCCTGAGCTATAGCAGAATGGCACAGAGGACACAAACAAACAAGGTGTACTGAGCTTTTATAACATTGAAACATAGAAAATGGAAGCAGGAGTAGTCCTTCAAGCCTGCTGCACCGTTCTATATGATCATTGTTGATCATCCAACTCAGCACCCTGTTCCCACTTTCTCCCCATATCCTTTTAGCCCTAAGAGCTATATCTATCTCTTTCCTGAAAATATTAAACAATTTGTCCTCAACTCCTTTCTGTAGGAGAATGCCACAGGTTCAAGACCCTCAGGGTGAAGAATTTTCTCCTTATCGCTGTCCTATATGGCCTACACCATATCCTTAGACTGTGATCCTGGTTTAGCATCAACTAGAGCATTAGGTCCAATTCTGTGAGCTGCACTTTAGGAGCACAGTGGAAAGGGTGTTGATAGGTGCAGGAAATGCAAAGAATGGCTCAAGGGATGTGGGATTTCACACGAGCACGAGGGTTGATTATAATCATAGAATCCCTACAGTGTGGAAGCAGACCATTCAGCCCAAGTCTATACTGACCATCCAAACAGCATCCCATCCACACCCACACCCCCTTATCCTATCCCTGTAACACTGCATTTCCCATGGCTAACCCACCTAACCTACGCATTCCTGGACACTGTGGGCCAATGTAGCATGGCCTGTCCACCTAACCTGCACATCTTTGGACTGTGGGGGGAAACCGGAGCACCCAGAGGAAACCCCTCACAGACACAGGAAGAACGTGCAAACTCCACATGGACAGTTGCCCAAGGGTGAAATCGAACCCGGGTCCCCGGCCGCGCAAGGCAGCAGGGCTAACCGCTGAGCCACCCTGATTGGAGAAGCTGGGGCTGTCCAATATAACCCTCAACCTTGAGGAAAGAGAGACAGCCAGTATCAGCTCGGCAGGCCGAGCGGCCTCATTCCATGCCGGACCATCCTTGGTCCATAAGAGCTAGCTCGGGGCAGCAGAGGGGCCATTCAGCCCATTTCATCCGTTCAGTATGGGGGGTTGTGCCTGACCTCTTCTGTGGGGGGTGGGGGAGAGGGGAAAGGGGAGAGGGTGTTACCCCAAGTAGCGGGCGGCTGCCGGGCCCACTCACCCGTTCCAAGGCCGGCCGCATCTTGCGCATCTCATTGGTCATGCGGTTGAGGACCAGGCCCTTGCGGATGTCAGCCAGGGCCAACCTCAGCTTGTCCCGGGTCTCCTTCAGCCGGAAGATCTCACTGTTGACGCGGTTGATCTGGTCCAGGAGGTGCCCGATGACTGAGCGGGTCTGCAGCATGTAGCTGCCAATCTGCTCATTGCTCTGCATGGCGCACAGGTCCCGCAGGAAGGGCAGCAGCTCCATCTCCATCTTGAAGCCCCAGCCTGTGTCCTTGCCCTCAGGCACCTTGTAGAGGATGTCGCTACTCAGGTCCTCGTTGGAGGCCGTCACGGTGCACACGTTCTTCTTGGCCTCCTCCTGGGCTTCCTTCTCCCGCTGCATCCTGTCCTGGCGGGCCTTGAACTTCTCCAACGATTCAGGGTTCTCTGTTAGCTCCCCAGGCAAGTACTTGCAGCCCTTCCTCCTGGCCAGGCGCCGGGCCTGGGTCTCATACAGAGTGGCAGAGCGGAACGGGGTGTCCTGGTAGCGGTGGGCTGTGACCTCAATGGCGGCCTCAGCCAACCCCACCGCTTTGATGGCCCTTTCCCGCCAGGCTTTGGGCCCAATGGATGCTGATGGCACCTTCACGCTTTTCCACTCCATCTCCAAGCCCACTCGCCAGCCTGAGGAGGAGAAGGAGAACGGGTTTTCGGTCAAAGCCCAGTGACGGGGAAGGAGGAGTGGGTGGGTAAGTGGATCAGGGGCAACGCGCGCACGCACACACACACCACACAACACACACACATACCTCACAACACACACACACACACCTCACAACACACACACACACACATAACACACCTCACAACACACACACACACACCTCACAACACACACACGCCTCACAACACACAGACAAACACACACACCTCACAACACACACACACACCTCACAACACACACACACACATAACACACCTCACAACACACACACACAC